GGGGGGGCTCATTTGCTTTCTTGCAAGCATACAAGGCCACAAGTTCCTCAATGGTGTGCCTTTGGGCCCCTGTGGCACCTTGCAGGCATTGCCTCAGCTTATCAGGTTCCCTCCCCAGCCTCCTCACATGGCTCAGAATACAAACCATCTGGCTTGCAATTTTCCCAGCCCAGAGGTCGTCTTTCCAGTCACTGGTGTTGTGGGAGTGACCATATTTTTGAATGCACTGCTTCAGTTGCCCTGCCAAGATCTCGCCTTTTGAGATATTGAAAAAATCTTTCACCCATGCGGCATTTTGATGTAGGCCTGCTGCACTCACAGCAGTGGTCACCTTTTTGGTGTCGTATTCACCTAATAGAAAAGCTGCAGCGCCTTGGACTCCACAGCCCTGTCAATGATGCCTTGCAGGGCATCCATATCCACTGGTGGCACAGAAAATCTCCTGGCGCCACCCTTGGACATGGCTTTCTTTCAAGCCCTCTGCCCTTAAACACATGGACGCACCTGTAAGCCAAATGCTGCCAGTGCATGTGGCTTTGTTTGAAAATGAACTGCCTGATGTTGATAGATCATGGCTAGGGCATCATGAACTGCCTGATTTTGACATTGATATTGGCCTTGATACTGGTTGTAATATTGGTCTGGATATTGATCATGATATTGGTCGATATTGATCAAAAATATTGATTTTTTTTTCAACCCCCAATATTGAAAAAGATCAATCCTACGATTGAAAAAACCAAGTTCAATATTATTGAAAATTTTTCCAATATTGATTTTTTTCAATATCGGATCCTCAGGGTACCACAGTCCGCCGAGGATCTTCAGTGACCTTCTGGCCAGAATACTGATAAACCGAGAGATCCGCCTTTACCGTGCCCCAGTCCTTTTGATCAGCACGAGTTTTCCATAACTCGTCCATCTGCTTGGACAAGGCAGCTACTTCCTTGTCCAATTGCTCTCTTTCTGCTGCGCTGAGCTCATCAGATGTGACAACTCCTTGCCGTTCACTCACAGCAGTATAGACAGCATTCCGCGAAGACACAGCTTCCAGCGGAGGAACCCTCTGGCATATTGAATGCGCTGGAGACCTACGGAGCGCTCTTTTTAAGCAACTCATGTAAGCATGGCAGCACGCAGGTTCATAAACCCCGCTCAAGATGCCACAACCCATCCATTTGGTTCCTCCGGAGACCTCGATCTTGACTGAGCCTTTGATGTGCCGATGAGAATGTTCTGTTTGCCCGAGGGCGTCAGGACGACCGCACCTCAAGGAAAACTCACTCAGACAAAAGTTGCTCAGCCAGATTTGTCCCTTCTTCATAGGCTGGCCGAAGCTCCCATCGGTCAGGCCCTTGGATTCCATCCCATATTGGCAACCATCTGTTGATGCATATTGCCAGGGAGGCTTCGGGCTAGCGAGCTGACCAAAGCTGCGAACCCAATCGTCTTCGCTCCATAGCTGGCTACCCGTTGGACTCTCAACCGTCCCTTTTCTTCCTCCCTTCTCCTGCTCAGCGAGAACTCGCATGACCAACTCCCTCACAGACCGGTCATTGCTGTCCGGCTTCCTCTGGCCCATCACGCTGTAATGCTCACATGGCATTCCAGCGTGAAGCGCCGCCGGCTGCAGCACCATGTACAGACACCAAAACAGCTCCTGATCCACGGGCGAGCTCAGATCCCAAGCCTTACCGAAGGCAGGATAGAGTCGATCCAACGGTGGCGCAACGCTCAACCTTCTCTGCCTCGCAGCGAGGGTGAGCCCTGCTTGCCCAGCAAAAAGTTCCCAAAAATCAATGCGCGAAGGTGGATGAGCTTCCAACCAGGACCACACGATTCGCCCCTCAGCCGATTGCCACACAGACGGCCAAGAGGGGAGGGACTCAACAGATAGGAGAGCCAGCACTTCCTCAACAAGGGGAAGATACTCAACCGGCTCAGTCTTAACGAGGTGAACACGCACGCCCGCCTCCTTCAATGAATACCCTCCTTTGTCTAACTTCCGCGCCGAACTGGCCGCGAGAGCTCCATCCTTCATAAGATCTACCTTGCAAATGACTTCCTTCATAGTCACTGGCTCCAGAAGAGGGCGGGTGCCCTCTTGGCCCCCACGCCCTTCTTCATCCAAATATTCTAACTTCCACTTCACACGAAGGCCTGTAGGGTCAGGCATATAGCGGTGTACACTCACCTGAGCCTGCGCTGCATCGACCTGCGTGACCCTTCCTAGGTGTGCGACCTTGTGAACATGGACCTTCTTGTACGCGATTTTGTCACCAATCCGCAAAACAAAATCGCGTCCGCGACGTTGGAGCGTGAACTCCACCTGACGAGCATCACCTGATGCTTGCTGACCCAAACTGGGCCCTTCATCGCCCGGTTCATCAAAGACAACCGGAGCCCGGGACTCTGCGTGAGAGTCCGCTGGGACCAGAATGCAGTCTTCGGCGTGCGCCTCGTGCCTGCGACGAACAGCAGACGCACCCGCGCCAGCAAGAGCCTTCAAGCCAAAGGCGATTGCCCCTAACATCAACCACCTCCCAAGGGCCGTGCAGACCAGGTTTCCAAGGGACACGAGCCGCCCCCCTCGGGACGGGCCGCGGGAGATTTCCATACAACACGATCTCCTACCTTCAGGTCCACATGACGCCTGAACCGATTAGCTAAACGAGCTCGAGCCTCGGACGCGCGATTCCAATGCTTCGCGACGACATGAGCGATTTCTTGAAATTGACTGAACTGCCGACGAGCCCAATCCGAGATTGGCTCAAACTGCAGAGCTTCATGAAGCACATCCTTTTCGAGCGGCAGAGCTAAACTCCATGACCGTTCCAGATCCCGCGGAGCGTAGCCGTGCGGTCCTGGCGTGTTGTCCAGGATGTACTCCGCCACAATCAGCCAATCAGACCAATTCTCAGCAACTCCGAGCTCTCGGACCAAAGCCCCGAGAGTCTTCTGCACTTCCTGGTGCACTCTTTCATTGCTGCCCATTTCACAAGGACGGAGTGCAGCAGAAAACCTCTGTTGCACCCCCAGGATCGCATTCAACTCTTTCATCAGAGTATTCTTGAACTCCACACCTCGATCACTTCGCACGAGTGACGGGATAGTTCTACTCCTCAGGACACACCTGGTGAAAGCTCTTCTCACATCCGAGTGTGTCAGCGAACGCAACGGTTCCAGCATGACTGCATGAGAGAGGCAGCAGAAGTAAGTCAAGGAATATCGGTAGCCTTCCCTATCTTCCTTATTAGGACCTTCACAGTCTACCGAAACCTCCTCCCAACAGGTAGCAGCCAAACACTTGACCGCCTTAGCCTCGACCCTAGTTGGTCTGCCCCTCCCTTTCAAGCAGCTCAGACAGGATTCAACCCACCTGCTGATATCCTCTTTCATTGACGGCCACCAAACGCTCCTCTCCAGGAGCTTGAAGGTCACTTCTGCACTGCGGTGAGCCCCCAAGACCCCTCCATGGACCGCGAAGTAACACGACTTCCGCCAGGTCACCCCGTTGTCCGCGACAACCCCATTAGGGACCACTGGAACCCAGACATGTGGTCCTGTCTTCAGTTGCACTTCTCTCGCTAGGACTCCGTCTCCAGCGACCCTATAAGGATGCGAGACTCTCCGGAAATGACTGGCGAGTGACTCATCCTTCCTTTGAGCTTCATGCCAAGCTCCTCGCAACGAGCCAGACACCTTGAACTCCGAGATGCCAGACGCATCTCTCGCTTCCCTGGCCAAACTCTCTCGGTCTCCCCATGCCTCCTCCGTGATAGTGCCTGCCTTTCCGGAGAATTCATCAGGCCAAGTGGTGAGGATCCAACACGGCGATCTCAGCCACAGCACGACACGGGGCCCGCGGTCATCGCGACCCGCGAAGGCCAAGGTACGCCTTCGGCGTCCTTCACACAATCGAATCTTTCTTGCCAAATTGATCTCATCCCAGTGCCCTTCTTCATTCTCCTGAAAGGACACGAGGACGCGGTGAGCCTTGAGTGACTTGCGGCGCCCCAAGGATTGCTTCCCGTCTCCGTCATCCCAACACTGGACTCTCTCAGGGATTCCAAGAAGATGAAGGAGACTCTGAAATCTGGATGGCAATCCATTGATGCTACCAGTACGCCACACGGCTTCACACACCTGAGTCACCAAGACCCTGTGGTTATGCCAATTTATCGACTCGACGCCCCAGCTCAACGGCGACGGTCGGCTCACTTCTTCCCGACAGCAGTGGTGCCCCGTCAGAACCACTCCCTTGCTATCTACAACCCAAGAAGAAATGTAAGGGAGGCTGGCCTTACCTTTTCCCAAGTTCGTTTTGTCAGAGGCTGACTTCCAACGGAGAACAGACAGCTCACCGAACTTGGTCTCACATTGGGAAGTGTGCTTGACCTCCTTACCGGCCTTTCCCCAACTTTCCAAAATCTTCACAGAGATGGACCTAAAGCCGGCATGTCCACAAGTTGACAAGGACATGGCCAGAACATCCACTTCCAGCCCTGGCTCAGGTTCATCCTGTAATGACTCTTCTACGCGCTCATCGTCCAAAATGGACTCTAGCGCTTCATGAGCATCTTTTTCGATGCACGCGGGGCATCTTGAGAACAGATAGGTCCTCCTGCCACACACGCACAGTCCTTCATGCTCCCAGACCTCACGCGCCGGCTCTGAGAGGAAGGATCGCAAATTGATCGCGTCCAAGCTATCAACTTTGGCAAGACGAAGAGCCTCAAACATAGCAACGGTATCATCAGGTCTACCGTGCTTCGTGGAGACTCCGAAGCCCTTCAAAGGCTCCACAGAAAACTTCTTCTTCAGCTCAGGGCAGGCTTGGGCAATATCTTCTGCTCCGATTTGGGACTTCCAAACCCGAGGGTTAACAGACCAGACGCCTTTTATCCTGCTCCAGGACGAGCCCACTTTCTGCACCTCCTTGAGCTGCAGATTTCTGGCCTGAAGGGTTAGCTCCACCACCAAAGGCCATCTCACGAGAGCCGCAATCACTCCACCTTGCCCGAACCCGATCACAAAGTCCGGCAAAAATCCGGCAGCATCTCGCAAGAGCTTTGCGCAGGATGTCAAGAGGTCCACTCTAATCCTCTTGATCCTTTTCGCACCTGTGAGCCTCCCAACTGCTCCGTCGAACTGCGAAGCTATGCCCTCGTCATCTTCAAAGGGGCCAAAGCTTGCTCTCAGCTCGAGCGAGATTCCAGGCATCGCTCTTTCCAGCGTCGCCCTGGTGTCAACCATAGTCCTATTGGTGTCCCTACTGTAGTCCATGACCAACAGGATGCGCGCCTGCCCGGCCGCAGCAACCCCAATCTGATCTGTTGGCCTCAGGGACTCCCGCTTCTGCTCAGGCACGGCGTCGTTTCCGACCGCCCATGCAACAACCTCATCATTCTCCACTCCTTCCCCCAGATACTCATCGAGGTCAAACCCTCTCAACTGGCCTGACAGTGCCGACAGGTCCTTCGTTCTAGCTTCCAACAGCGCATCCCTATCCTTAGGATTTCTGCTGAAGCCATCACCCAGCCGCGCTGACCTTCCGCTAAGACTCCGGATCCCTGACCCATCCGACAGGATCTCAGAAACCCATCGAACCAGCTTGGAGTCTACCCCGATGTCACTGGACTGCGCCCTTGTCAGGTTCGCGTGATCAGTCCAACAAAGGGTCCTGATCGTCCCGAAAACCTTTCGAGTCGCTCTTTTCACTTCTAATTGAGCGTAGGCTTCCTGGATCAGCGGCGGCCATCGCTGCTGAGCAGGGGTGAGAGAACGAGAGTGGGTCAGCAGGATCTTCATTCTGATCATATCCCGCGACATTTGGAGCACAGTTCCTCCAACTGCGATTCCGGAAGCATCCGCGATCTGCTCCAGCGGACAAGAGCCGTCGGCTGCGGAAGCTTCATCAAAGGTCGCCAAAGCGATATGGTCGCAGATCATCTTCTTGATCGCCTTGAACGCCTTACAGGCCTCGGAATCTCCTGACCCGATGCCTCCTTCTGGGAACTCAACCCCAGGTTTCTGGTAAGCTCCTAGGAGCTTGGCTACATGTCCGAATTCAGACGGCAAATAGCCTCTCAACCAATTCCCACATCCAAGGAACTGCTGGATGTGAACCTTCTCCTTCAAAGGAGGGAAATCTACCACAGCTTGGCATCTTTCCGGATCAGGTAGCATCCCGTGCCTCCCGATCAGATGTCCGAGGAGCTTGCCATGCTCCACGCAAATCTCGGCTTTGGAAACGCCGAACGAAAAGCCAAAAATGATCGACTTGTCCAAAAAGCCCTCCAGCGAGACAAGGTGGTCCAACAAGAAAGGATCTGCCTTCGGATATCGCTCGCCGAGATCCTTCCTCAACTGTTCATAGTAGTAGTCTGTAGGCGTCTCTTCGCCCATCTTTTCCAAATCCACAGACTCTACTATGTGAAGACACGGATTCATGACAGTGTCCACACCATCACTCTGCCGCAGACCGCGACTCATCTTGAGTCCGCTGGTCGCGCTACCTGGCAACCACCCTGCCCATTCTGGACCATGCCGCGTAAAGAACGCGGCGACCTTGCAGTGCACCAACCCCTTCCACTCACCGGGAACCGATCGATGCGTTCCAAGGTCGCAGGTACCCAAAAGCGACCGACCATCCAGCGTTGCCCGACCGAAAAACCAATGAGAGGAAACGAAAGGCCGGAGACGCGGCAGGCGGCTCAAAAGCCCGCTCTGCAACTTCAGTGACGTAGCACATGCCACCCTTCCAATCCCACCAACCACTTCCAGGGATGGTTTCAAGGAACGTATGGACCTCGGGGTCCTCGAGCTTGGAAGCACCTTCCGCAAGGGCGCCCCCAGCTCCAAAGCCATGATTCATCACAGAGACTGCGACCAAAGCGGCCATCAAGCCATAGCCCGCTTTCCTGCCGCATCCCCCAAAGGACCGCTGGCAAGAACGGCAGCCCTGCAGATCTCTCACCGCCTTTCGCTCTTTTGACCCACATTCCACACACGGATCAAATGACGTCAATCGCGCTGTGCCGCACGCTTCGCAATGGTCACCTCCCATAGGCACAACAAACGACGTGTCCATCAAGCCACATTCGCAGATGCTCGTCTCTACCAGTCCAGCTCGGACCTCTGCGACTGGATCGCCTGGCTGGACCAGCACATCCGAGTCTGGGGAAGCCACTAGAACCATGCCCGAAAGAATCCCGCTAGGCCAGATCCCCGGGACCGCTTCAAGACCACCTTCAACGGGGAAAACCCCTTCACATAAGGACCCGTCGAGGCATGGTCTCGAGGTCCTCTTCACTGGCAACATGGCTCCTTCTCCGGCTTCCACAGAGATGGTGTCCTCTCCATCATACACCAACAGCTGCCTTCTCGAGTCTCCAGGCTCGCAACAGGAAGAATCATCCAGACTGGAGATCACCGAAGAGAACGCGCAGGCTCTATCACGCCTCATTCGCGACAAGTCCTCGCACCGCGGCATAGTGATGCCCAGCGTGTCGAGAACATGCCCGTTTGGACCTGGACGGAAACCAAGCCCCATACGCGAAGGATGATCCAAGGCGCGACCACCGAGAATCAGCCCATGCCAATCGGAAGTTCCGCGCGAAGCAACCTTACAACGGACAAACACTTCCGGGCCATCTCGAGCGCTCTCTGGATCTTCTCCTTCCAACAAGGTCACGCGGAGCACAACTGCGCCCTTCAACGGCACAGGAGAGCCCGCTGCAATACCATGGACGAACTCAGGGTACGTCCACTTCTCAAAACGAAGCACAGGGAACCGGCGATCTTCCGGACTAATGCCCAGATCCGCTGCACGGTTCAACATCCCTGTGACCAATTCTTCGGTGATATGGTTCGAACCCGCACAACCGTCGAGCATGACTTCCACCTTGCGGTCGAGCACCTTAACCACCGATTTGTACTGGTATCCTCCAGCTTCATTCTCAACTAGATGAAACCAGTCCTTGGGAATATCATCCAAAGACGAAAACCGCGGCCTGTCGCCCGCAGGTTTTGCCAAACTCAGCACCCTATCATTTGCCGCTGACTTCACAGTGGCACTGCCGATCTCGACGGAAAAGGCAGCGAAAGGGTTCGACATAGCGGCACCTGACGGCGCTCTCCAATTCTCTGGCGGACCGCCTTGCTGCGATGACGAAGCAGGAAGACTGTGCACCATGTCACAGTCAGCACCCTTGCGGCAAGCACCGTTCTTTTGGAAGAAAGGGCACACGGTCCCTGGAGCCTTGTTGCTCTTCCCTTTTCCTCCTTTGGGTCCGCCCTTGCCGCCACCAGATCCCTTCTCTGATCCTTTCCCTTCGGATCCTCCTTTCCCGCCTTTGGTCGCATAAGTCTGCTCCGCTCCTTTCCCTCCGCTGGCTTCTTTCCTTGCCGCGAGGGCCTTCCTACGAAGCTCCTTGTCATGCGACCACGGACACGCATCCCCTTTAGGACAATTCCCATGGTCTCGGAAATGAAAGCATAGTTTCGTGGACCGGGCGTTGGTGGTAAGAACACTCGCATCGGGAACAGCCTTGGGTTTTGCCTTCGGCTTTGGTTTTGGTTTCTTCTCTTCTTGGAGGAGCTGCTTCCCACCCAGCGGTTGCCCCGAACCCATGCCGGACATGTCTGCTCCAGCAACAAGCACGGAGTTAGCAGTGGCCTTATGAGTAGCCTCCCTCTGCTCAATCTCCAAAACCACTCGATGGGCTTCTTCCCATGTGGCCGGACCGCGAAGTGTCGCCTCTCCTTTCCAAAGCCGTTTGTCACTCCGGATCTCTTTCTGTAGATACGGAGGCATCTTCCGCAGGTACGAGAGATAAAGCTCTCTCTGGGTCTTGCCCAAACCAACCGATTCGAGTTCCGAAATACTGGCCTCGAACAGGGGTTCGAACTGATGGGCACTCAAGCGTCCCTTGCTCAAAAGCACATGTTCGTTGTCAACACGAACTTCCTTCTCCTCCTTGCTCTCAGCAAAGATGAGGTGCTTCTCTTTAATCCGAGTATACACCGTCTCCGGATTAGTCAAGATTTCACCGCTCCGCCACGCTGCGCGATAGATGTTCGTGTACGTCTTGAGCCTGCTGCCTCTGCAACGGGCACGCAAGGCAATCAACTGCTCGCGGTAGCTCATACCTTTGCAATTGTTGGCCAACGAGCAACAGTCCTCGAACTCTTCATAGAACTGTGCCACGTCTCTGGCCTCTGAACGATCATCCGTCAGCGTGGGTGAGTTGACATCGGTTTTCACCGAAGTCACACTAGTAACTCCTCCCCTTGCCGTCAGAGTCTCCTGCAGCATCTTTGTCTGTGCCTCCAAGGCAGCTGCAAGATCCCCACCAGCCACGGAACCTTCAGACCCTCTCTTCAGAGCCTCCAGTTCCATCTCGAGAGCGGCGACCTTTGCACGCAACGGCGAATCCCCTCCGCCAGTCGTGTGCTTTGCAAGTCCAGCGCGCCCCACTTCCGTCAGTGACACGGCCTCCCGAGTAGGCGAGTCGAGAACCGGGCCCTCAACCGAAGGCGTGCTGAACAACTTGTCACTCTTGGAACTTTCCTTTCCACCAAGCCCTAGGATGACCTGCCCCAGGACTTCTGCCTTCAAAGTCTTGTCTTCATCTGACAAGTTCGAATCCAGTGCCACAAAGGCGAACTGATTCCGCAAGGTCCGAACTAGGGCTCGCACATCCCAAGTTCCAACCCGATCATAGGCTTCCTGGATGACCTCGGCTTTCAACGTGACTCGATCCAGGTCCTCAGTCTTGACTTCATGTCCTAGCGTCTTCAAAGCCATCACCAAACGGGTGACTCTGGCCAGAAGCGCTCCCATGTCCTCCTGATCCGGCCGGAACAACTGCTGCAGCTGCTTCAGCAGCTCATCAACATCAGCTGCACCAGTCCCAGCTGAGGACGGGCGAGGACTAGAACCTCCAGCTCCAGTCCGTGCCAACATGAGCGGCGCCGCCTTGCTCGCAGCCGCCCGCTCGGGCCCTACCACTACCGGGCCTCGAACAGGTTCAAGCTCGGAAGACTCCTCATCTTCTTCATCATCGTCTTCCTCGCTATCCTCCTCGCCATAGTATTCCATCATGATGGCTTTCCACAAAGCCACCTCTTCATCCGTTCTCATCCCGCGTCCGTCCTTTCTCTTGACCGGACGCCTTCCTTCCTTCCGTCGCCAAGCCTGCCACTTTGGGAAGGACATCTTATCAGGGACGGGAACGCGACCATCGGCTATGCACTCCGATAGGGTCACGCCCTCCTCTTCTCCAGCAACTTCCTTACTCATGGCGCGTCTCACAGACCGCGACCTTCCTGAAAGCGCGTTTTACACACCGCGACTTTCCCAGATGTTTCCCAGAACAGCCCCCAATTGTGAGCAGAACCGAACTGGTCTTGGGAACCTACCCAAACACAGCGGCCCAGCTGTTTCTTGCTCGTGAGCTCAAGGTCGGGTGAAACGGCCACGGAAGCTGCTGCGTGCTTTCTCCCGTGCACAACAGTCAAATGGGCGCTTTGCCCACTTGAGCCAAAACAAGTGTTGTGAAACAACTGTGCAAAAAGACACAAGGGCTGTTAGGGACAGTATCATTCACACTCGCCCCTCAGCCGGCAGCTACACTAGCTAGGTCCGGCTCTCACTTCAGCCCGCGCACGACCGGCCGCTGGGCACCCCACGCCGAGCTTTACCACTCCGCTTGGATGCATCCGGCAGGATGTCGCGCAAACACTGTGCTCAGGGGCCATCCGTCGAAGCCCGAGCACGTCCTTGACCGCCTTGGGTCTTATTTTGCTGGAACTGCACTTCTTCCAGCGAAGCGCCCGCGTCCCAGGACTCCGAGAAGTGGCTCAGGAAATCCCGGACGGACTGGTGCTCCTTGGGCATAGTCAGCAACAACCCTGACTCACGATTGGACTTTGACGACGTTGTCCAATTGCAAGAGCCCAGCACCAAGTACGCGTGCACAGCAGTCATGACCAAACAGCTTTTGGCGTGTTGGATACCTTTCAAGTTGGCTCCAACTCTGACTGCTCTTCCGTCTTCCTTGTAGGTCTTCGCAAGACTTTGCCCTCTTGCGACCCTGACGGAATGCCCACCTGAACGAATCTCCAGCAAAGACTGAAGCTGAAGCTTCGTCCGGTGGGTCTGACCCGCGTCGGCAAGCAATTCGATCTTCCCTTTATGCTTGGCGAACGCTTTGGTCAAATCTGGCTGGTCCAGACTGTAGGCAGCCAGAAAAACAGCAGAGTCAGGGTGTCGCTCTAGCAAGTCGATCACCGCTTCTTGTGATGCACGGTCCTTTAAGTATTCGACCGTGATCTCTGCTGACGACGCGCCGCCCTTGGGCCGAGGTGCGCGCACCGCGGCAACCGCGTCCTTCTCACGGACCGCGTGTTGCAAGTCTTCATCGACTCTTCCGTGCGTCAGCTCCTTGAAGCACCCTGCAGTCGTCTCCTTGGACTCATCAGCGCTGAACAAACGCTGAGCCTTGCTCACTACCCCCGTGAAGCAAAGAGCCTCCGTGGAGCGACCACTGACACCCATACTCTTGAGAGCTGCTGCACCTTTATTTTTCACCACAGATCCTTCTTCAAACTGGACGGCCCGACTTGGGCCCAATCCCATCATTCTAGCTTGTTCGACGGCGGCATCAATATGCCCGCACGTCCCTGCATCAATGAACCCTCGACAGGCACAAGCCGATTGGCGCGGCGTGGTTAACCGCATCCACACGACGTGCTTTCCTTTCGATCCGGACACCTCCCAGCTTGTCTGCCCATCGGGTTTGTACTCCAAAAGTTTTGCAGGCAGGGTGTTTCCATGATAAGCTCGCACAAGCCTATTGGCGACAGTTCGGCCAAGGAACCATAGCCCCATGATCCCAAGCCCCAAGACCGCCGACTTACAGATCAGGCCGGTGATCTGGATGGTCTGAGCTGTCGTCTCTTCGATCTCGAAGAGCACCCTGGAACTGAGGCTGCTGATGCTGTCAAGCACCTCCTCAACTTCCTGCTCCGTCCTCCAGGCGAGCGGAATCAAACTTGCGCCGACCAGGACCTTGACCGCTAGGTCAACAGACGGTCTATTGCCATTCAAGGCGTGCTGCAACTTATTCAGCACCTTCCTGGGAGCAAAGTGTTTCTTCCAGCGCTTGCTCACCAACCTTTTCCTCATACCGATCTCAAGCGCTTTCACAAGAGAGAGGCCCTTGACCGTCCGCGGCGCTCTGTGCCCGCGAGGCGATCGGTGGTGAACGCGGCCACACCTGCATACCTTCTTCTTGTGTTTCCGGCCGGCTCTCTTCCTCCTTTTGACTTCCGGCATCTGCCTGAGAGTGCGTTCGACCAGACGCTCCCTTTCGGAATCAGAGCTCTCATCATCCCCACGATGTCGACTGCGCAGGGTGGAGCACTGGTAACATTTGACTCGCGAGAGCATATTCTCTCCGCCGCATCTGTCACATTCCCACCTACCAGCGGCAAGGGCCTTGGCAAGAAGAGTCGAGAACTCAGCCTTTTTCGCAGCCCGTTCTCTCCTTCTAATCTCGCGGTAGAGTTCGTTGGCCCATTCCGTAGAATTCCAGAAGCTGTCTTCGCACACAAAGCAGTATTCATCTCCTGGCGCATTCACTGCGCCACATACGTGGCAGACCCAAGACCCCCATTCGAAGCGAACTGGCCTCAAGGAGAACCGTTCTCTGCTAGAGGGTTCTGGCGGGGTTTCATCCGGACTTTTCGGCCTGCGAGGTGGCAAGTCCGGACTCCTCGGTCTCCGAGGCGGTGATCTCGAACTCACACCCCTGGACCGCGACCGACTCCTTCCAGAGCGACTCCTTCCAGAGTCGCCCCTCCGCTCATGATCCCCTCCGGTCGCCTCCTCTTCTGAATGAGACCGGTACCTCTTCTCATTCAGGTTAGCATCCCTCAGGATCTTGAGTCTCTTAGACGGCCTTCGGTGTCTGCGCTGTCCCGAATGGCCTTTCTCAGAATGACCTTCCTTTTTGCTCCTCTTTCTCCTAGCCGCCTTGGCTTCTAGATCAGGGGATGCTTCTCCTTCTTCTACCTCCACGAATTCTTCCCCGTCATCCTTAGTTGGCTCTAAGGTTTGCTCCTTTCCCTTGCTCTCACCGGCTGCTGAGGGAGCTGCTCCTGGCTCTGTCTCTAGAGTCCGATCTTTGAGCTCCGCTCCCAATGATGCGTCCGATGATGGCGGCACTCCTCCTGCTTCTGGCTCTTCGCCTTCGCCTTCCGGACCCTCAGTCTCAGCCGACGTCGGCGCCGATCCCTCGGCTTCGCACGACGCGGGGCCTGCCACAGCTGTAGCTTCCGGTTCCTTTTTCCCCCACGCGGGGCCTGCCACAGCTGTAGCTTCCGGTTCCTCTGCTTTGGGCGGATCCAGCACAGGACCTTTTTCTCCACTCGAAGGCACCACGGAGGGCAGGCTAGCAGCGGCCGTAGGTTCAGCTTCCTTAGCTTCTTCTACCTTGGCAGGAGTTGGAAGCGGTCCGGCATCTCTCGAGGGCAAGCTGGACGAAGCCGAAGCGGCAGCTTGTTCCCTATCGTACCGTTCCGCAAGCTCGAACATCTTGTTCACGTGTTGGATGCTTCCTAGATGCTCATCCGTGATCCAGGACGTCCCAATTTTCCCAGCCCTGGACTTGCATAAGAGGCATATTCCTTCTTCGGTCCTCCAAAGAGAGCGAGGAATATGGGTCCACCAGAAGTTGGGGGGTTCCCCCTCATAACCCCGAGGCACCTTGACTTCACTGCCCTCCGGCGGCTCAGTCAAAGGTTCCGCCCTTATACCGGCTGCACCGGTTCTGCGACGGTCCTGAGCTCTGCGGCACTCCGGCTCAGTGGACGACTACCAGCTGCTTCAGCCGGAGCTTCTTCCTTAACTCCCCTCCAAGAAGAAGAAGAAGCCGCGCCCTTAGGGTCCGCTGGCTCGTCGTCATCCGTAGTCGTAGCTTCCGTGTCTCCATCAGGAAGCTCGATCACTCCAGACAGAACGTCGCGAGCTTCTGGCGCATCCTTAGCAGGAACCAGCTCGAACCCCGAGTCAGTGATCTCGGCCAAGACCTGGTCATAGGCCTGAGACTCTTCCCCTATGGCCAAGATGCGCGTCAGGCTCTCCGGTGGAGCTGCCAACGACAAGAGCACAGCTGACGCGCCGTACTCCCCGTCCGCTCCATGGTACATCTTGACCCCATGCGCCCACAAGTTGCGCACAGAGGTCTCCACAACCGCGGTCGAGTCCGCACGGAAGCCGGTCCTTCCTTCGCCAGGACTCGGTTTGCTTCCGGCGACCCAGTACACCGTCAAGCGGTTGCTAGCATCCCCTCCACCTGGCAACATCCCGAAGCGGACAATGCCATCGCACCGCTCCAGAACAGTCCCGTGCCAGAGGGGTGAATCACCTCCCAAGCCTCGTTCAGCGAGGGATTGGCTTGTCACCTCATAGTACACTTGGCTCGGATCGCTGATCCCACTATCCGAAGAGTGCCCTTGCACCGCCCGGATCCAGTCGTTCCGAACCTCAAAGCGCTTCTTTGCGCCTTTCCCATCTAACTCGATCGCCTTCTGCATGTGAGCGACCGGCACTTGGAAGAGCTCGGCGGACGCGTCCAGCCGGATCCAGCCTTCTGGGTCCAGACACCCTCGGTGGTCATAGCCACCGTGACGGTAAGCCTTTGTCATGGCCCGTCCCATTTCTCCTGCGTCCTCCCAGTAATTCCTCTTCCAGTGCTTCTGACCCTTGCCCCTTCCGCGCCCCATTCGGCCCGCCGGACTTCCGTCCGCGGCCACGGCCCGCGTCCCACGCCCGACCGCGGTAGCTCTGAGCAACAGAAACGGCTGCGGCGAAACATGAACATGGGGAAACGAACAACGTGAACCGAACGATGAAGACGCGAAGACGCTGAAACACAGGGCAAAGAACTGACGGGTAGGGTGGTTGTGGTCCGAAGTCACCTCGTCGTGCTTGGTGGGGGGACCCGAAACCGACGGGCCGGTCGAACTCTTGACCCCCAGCGCTTCCAGCGCCGACCCCGCTGGCTGCACCGCTTGCACCGGCGCATTTTGGCACGCTCTGCGGACCTCTTCTTCGGCCTGATCGTCTGTCAGGTACCGACCATCAACCACTCTTCCTGTCCTGACCGTCAGGTCGTCGACATAGGCTACCCACTCCCTGGTGTACTTCATTTTGCGTCCTCGACCAGGGGCTTACGCCCGATCCACAACATAGCAAAAGTCATCAGGCCCATTGACTGGGCCAAAGGTCAAGCAGACAGGGAGGAACTTCCCGCTCCTGGCCACGATTGCAAGCACTTCCATAGCCCGGCGGGTATTCTTGATCTGGTTAAAGCCGGTCACGGCGTCCACGAAGGAAAACCGCGGCCGAGGCAAGAACATCGGTGGCCTTTCGGCAGTAGTACGTGGACCGAACGACCCGAGAATTGACTCTTCGGTAGTCAACTACCAATCTTCTCTTCCGATGGCGCTTATGCGCTGGCGCCTCCCGAGTCGGAAATGGTGGCGATCCCCACGCCGAAGTCCCGCGCACTAGCTGGCCGCGACGAACTTCCTCTTCAAGCTTTTCGTCGACCCAGGACGCAGCTTCACCTTTCAAGTTGTGAGGCTGCGAATTCACAGGTGGACCGGACGGCACACAGTCGTGAAGCACGTTGCGGACAGTCGTCCGCGGCGACCCTTCTAACCAGAATCCGCCCGCTTTCCTGCTGATCACTTCACGGCAGGCCTCCACATCGGCCGCAGACAAGTACGGCTTCTTTTCTTTCCAGTCGTCGCCAAATCCCAGCTCCTTGATCACTTCCTGGCGGTATACCCTGAGGATCCGATATTGAAAAAAATCAATCTTACGATTGATCCAAAAAATTTTTCAATATTATTGAAAATGGTCAAGTTGGAAGCCTCAGAAATCAATATCATGTTCAATATAATATTGATAATGATATTGATCAATATTGATCAATATTGATTGAAAATATTGATTGTGATATTGATCGATATTGATCCCTTGCCTTGGGCTTTTCCTCTGTTGGGCGCATGCTATGCAAGTCAAGAATGGGTGAAACAAACTGCTTTCTTTCAAGCATGCTCCTGCAAGGCTCTCTGGCACCTTTGGCTTTCTTTCAAGCCATCACACCATGTTATTGATCCTGAGCTGCAGGGCCATGGTGTATTTGGTGATGAAAGATTCACTGAGCCTGGCAGCTCTGGTGCCATGTGAGCAGCTGTGGCCCAAAGTGGCTATGTATCCCATGAAGGATTCTTGCTTGTAAGTCCAACAAGTAGCTGGGTTTTGGAATTGTGTCATCAAAGCAATGTGCGCTACAAAATGGCACTTTGGAGTCAAGGTGAACCTGACCTCATCAGCAAAATGGCTGTGCAACCAAATGTATTGCAGCATGCTTTCTTTCAAGCACTGGCTTGCCTTCACACTGTCTTTCATGAAAAGATCGTCCTCTGCAATGAAAAAATAGAATTTTGCCATCTGGTGGCAGCATTCAGCCATGTGGGCATGAGCCTCACACTCATTGGCTTTCTTCCAAGCCACCAATGCCAAAGCAGGTGCCAAATGCCTGATCTCACCTGCATGGCCTTTGAGTTTGGCTGGTTGGGACCATGGTTTTTCATGGTTGGTAAACATGGAAACCACTAGGTTGTTGAACTTCTCTTTGATGCCAAGATCTTTGTACGCTTCTTTAAGCAAGGCCCAGATCTCGGCTGTATTTTTTGACCCGTCCTGTTTCTTGGCACCAGGTGGAAAAGCCCAAGCGTGGAGGACAGACCCTGCCATCCTGGCTGTCACTCCCAAGTCCAAGGTGTGCAGCGCACCCAAGCACACCCTGTATTCAGGCAAGCCACCAGGGATTGTGAAAAGAGTGTGCTTGGTACAGGGGCTTTCTTTCAAGCCTTCAAAAGATTTCAGGGCCCACCCTGGTTCAGTGGCGAAATCATATGGGTTTTTGCTAGGGTCCTTCTTGTTACAATCGCACAGCCAGCAAAATTTGTGAGAGCTCCAATGGGGAAACCCCAAATGGTTTGCATAATATTCAAGATCCCCCAAGAAATTCCACACCCAAAAGCAAAGCTTTTGTGGTGTAATTGGCTTTCCTGCAAACCTTTGTAATGCTGGAGGCAAAGCATTGCCTTTCCAATTCACTGCTGGATGCAAGCCATGGAAAAGTGCTGTGAAGCTCCATGCTATGATCTCATGGATTTCACCCCAGGTCTCCTGTGTAGTTGCTGATTTCGGCCATGCAGTGATCAAAAAAAGAGCTGTCCATGCTGAGGTTTGCTTGTTTCT